CTGACAATGGAAAAGTTCCTAACCGCATGTCTGTATTACACCTATGACAAAGACTGTCAGTATTGCAAACCCTATGTGAAGACTCTGCTTTCACTGTTTATGTATACACCCCTAGACAACCGTGCTATACATGCACAATAAATCTTCAAAAGCCTATTAATATTATATCTGTGTGGTACACAAATAGGTGTACACAAAGAGGGGGTGTGAGTTAAGTCATCTCGACCTTCATATGGAATATGCTTCCTCCTTGTTCACTTTTGGTCAAACTGTTGGTCTGTGACTGGCCCTCTTTGACCCCAACTGAATTTCTTGGGAAGATTCATGAGAAAGATACAGCAGGTTGTTTTGGATATAAAGAAAAAGGGAAAAGTATGTTGTATCGGTCACAAAAGGATTGTGATCTTAAGCAGGCGAGACAAAGAAAGTTTGGAGGTGATAGATTGAATCAGAAAAGTTTTAGAAGCAGAGGTAGAGAATTTGATCAAAGGATTTAACTTTTGTAGAGATGGTAACTTCAGCACTGTTTTAATTATGGATAGCAGGGATTCACCCAAAGGTGCTTGTGGTGAACCCGGTTCTCCTGGTCAACCTGGCCCAGCTGGCATTCAAGGACTCCCACCCTGGCAGGTTCCTCAATACCAACCACAACTTTCAAGCTATACCCACACCCAACAACCTCAGCCTAATACACAGATGGTTCATGTTTTTAATACTTTATATATAGTTTTTATAGATAAAACAGTATTAATGCTGGCTCTTAGAGGATGTACAAGCTGAAGTTGGGACCTAGACATTGTTTGCATAGGCTGCGCAATGTGAAATAACTAAAATAAAATAGGATAATAAGCATGCTTAGTCAATTTGTAACGTGGTATCCTAGAGGCATCTGCAATAAAATAAGTGGGTTTCCAAGACCTGACAAGTGAGAGCAACTTAATATAACATATGTCTACAGTTTGCTGTCCCTTCCTTATCAGAGGCCACTTGCAACACAGCAAGACAACTCTTCCTAAACTTGTATTAAACAAAGCACTTTAGAACAATAGTAATTTATTTTGTTTCTCCTATTTCATTCCTAGTTGTTCTGAAAAAAATATATTGTTTAAGTGGGATAACTGTATGGAGGTTCCAACATGTATTAAAACATGATCACACACATCGGGATCTATAAAAGGTTTCGGTTTCCAAAGATGTTATCAGGGTCCACAAAACTGACAGACTTCAGCATTCCAATGTTATTAAAGTAATTAATTGAGATTATCAAATCAAGGTTTAAGTTTAAGAACAGCATTTTATTGGGAATTATACCAATATGTATATGTTAGTGTTTTAGTACTCAACAAGTATTTATATAGAATGAGTGCTTCTCTCATCCATACAAGGCATTTTAAAGGGAAATTATGTTTTAAAATTTTATAAAGGACATAAACAAAACTGAGAGACGTACATGTTACACTAGTTAAGAGTTTAACTTTAGTCTCTAATTTGAGTTTAGCCTAGATAATTAATTTATTGATGTCGTACTGATCCTTGTGTTTGTATGATTATAGAGACCGTACTGGAGTATTTGTGCTGCCTGATATTTGGGACTACACACCAATCTCTCTGGCTGACCTACTTTTTTTTTGCAATTAAATCTGTTTGGTCAAAAACCATGCTGGCCGAAGAAACTGAGATGCTTACTTATGAGGACATAAACTAACTTGGAAAGTCCTGAAGATGCAGTGCTGTCTAATGCCGCTATTTCTGTATTACCCTTTCAACAATAGGGGTGTTGCACAGAGTATTGTGGTGAACATCCAGAAAACAGAAGAATTAAGAACTATGTGGAAGCTGACATTGTCTTGTTGTCAGCCATATTGCTACCCTTAGCTATGTTATGGTGTCTAAGATTGTGGAACAAAGTTTATGGTGTCTAAGATTCTTTATACTCCTTGAAAGACTTATAATATTTTTCTGGACTATGCTGGACTATTGAACTATTTTGTTATTTTTATTTTTGTAGAGTTAGCCGGAGAGAGAGGAAGTGTTAGCTTACTCAGGCATGGATGTACTATGTGTGTCATTGATGTATGTTAAGTGTACCAAGGATGGATTCCAATGTATTAAGTGTGGATATGACTGGACCATCAAAATAGGGATTTGATTAGGAGGCATAGGACGCAAGGTCATGATTGGGATTATTGCTAGACTTGCAAACTGATTAGAAATGATCTCATGATTTAATATGTAAGTGGGCCTTTTCAAACTAATCAAGAAGTGTTTCCCAATCCCGATACCTGAGCTATTTACTTACATAGTGCAGGTTTTATAAGTCACTAATGCTGTCAACGTGAGGGGATGACATGTTTACACACTTAGAATTTACCCAGATGTGCTTTTTTTCTCAATTATGAGTTTTTGCCACTGGGATTTTTGACCTGGCCCAAGTTCACTGGGTGGACTGGTAATCCAAGACCCTGGTCCAAAGAGGGGAAATAGATTTTATTCCCATTTTTGATTATATGTGTTTACGTTGTGAATTATAATAATAATATTCCCGTTGTTAGGAATAATACACTTTGCCTGTTTTGATCCAAGGCTCAAGTTACAGATAACATGATGTGCAGTATGTTTAAAATTGGTTAACATGTCAGCTGTTTGAAATATTTAACTTGTACACTTAAAAGATGTGTACAACAGATGATTACAGAAGCTGAAAATCGACAGCTCGATCTCCTCTTAAAGGGAAAACCTACGGCATAGAGCAAATGGGGGAAATCGAGGTGAAGAAATAAGGAAAGTCCCGCAGACGTGATTAGCACGTCTGAATATACCTCCTTTCGTTTCTCTGCCGCAGGCCTCCCATGAATATTCCATAAGGTAGATCACGATATGATCTAAAGAGAGGAATTGTAGGATATGAATATCCATTTTGCTCTATATCCTAACTGTTCAGGTAAGGGTTAATTTGAATCAAGAATAAATTTGGAATTGTATCTCATGTCACAATGACTTATCCATTTACGGGAAATGTTATTGGAACATGATTTTGTTATTTACATGACATGACATGACATGATAAGGATTCTGGAATGACCTTGTTAATTGTCCAAGATTTCTGTATTTGTAATCATCTGGGTTTTATCCAATATGCATACATTATGTAACATCGAATTATAACTAAAAACAGATGTTTATAACTTGTGAAAAACAATGTCATTGTCACGCCCATATGCTCATTTTTCCCCCTCCCATCCTGCTATGAAAATGGGGTATAAATATAACTGACGTATGAATACAATTTGAATTGGTTATTGAACACGTCTCTGCTATTCATTTCCAATTTCCAGAGCTCTGTATGAGTTGGCAAATATCCATCATCCAAAAGGGCCCAGGCTGATTTTATCCCCAACAGTGGCTATGGCTGTAATCACTTCAGATTCCGTGATGGGGGCCGATAGGGCATCTTGTTGGGTGGAGGCGAGTTTGGGTAGATTCATTTTGTCTAGGAACTTGCTTATGCTGGGTTCCTGTGGTTGGGGTGTGGTGGTTATAGAGCAATTCGTAATATTTAGTGTGACAGACCCATCTGTCTGGATTACAAATGCTTTGTTCGCCTGTTTTGCAGGTTACATGAATTTCCCCATTCGTATGCTTTATTCAAGGGAATGTCGGTTTTTGTCGAACGAAACTACCGAACGGACGGCCACCCAGAAGAGAAGTGTGCTGCTGGTTAACCTATTGATCCCAATTAGAATGTTGCGGTTAACCACAGACACTTCTCAATTAAAACCGAATGCCGGGTGGTCGTCGTTCGTATGTCGACCACGAGGCGGCGGCCATTTTGTCCATGCGAAAGACCAGCGGTGTTCGACGATTATTTCATGGATCTGAAGCCGTCGACCTCCCCTTCTCAATCGACAAAAGTATACGAATGCCAGCTATTCGGGAGATTCAACCACACGAATGGACTTAACCCAGATAGCCGCCCCATGGAGTCAATCGCATACAGAAGAACCGAAAGAGACTTTGACTCCATGGCGATTGAACTATGCGAATGGGATCTGAGCGCTATTCTCCAATAATGTGCACTCAGATCCAGGCTATCTGGGGATACGTGATACGAATGTAATATGTTCTGCAGTTATGAAGTTATGGATTTTCATGTGTTTTTGTGACTTGTGTTTAAAATGGCGATTGCCTCTGCCCGGGGAAATAATTGAGTTACTTCCCAATTATCCCCCGAGCAGAGGGGAGGGAACTGTACTGCATGCTGGGAATATTGTGGGGATGTATGTCCAAAATGTCCCCATGTCCTTCTGTAATTTCAGTCTCCCATTTGGTCCCCTAGGGGAGTGTCCACCAGGTGGGAGACCTGCATAAATACCGGTCAGGTAGCCCACAGTAAATCAGTTCGTGTTTTACCCTCAAAGCGGAGCTTGGTCTCGTTATTGGGGGGATTTGGTTACCAGCGACTAGAGACTACTTATTTGGATTATTTGCCGCTTGGGAGATATTGACGTTCGGTTACTATTTGCCGTTCGTGGATTTACAGCTCGTGAAGGCACTAGTCGTATTGTGGTACCGAGTTTGGGAAAGGCCCCCAGTTGGCGGTTCGCATGCGGTTTATTATACCCACCACCACACATTATTGCAACGGGAATACCGCTAAACGGGCGGTTTGCATTATTTTACTATTGGAGGTACCGTAACATTTAGCAAAAAACGCATTAATGCCTTTTGCGTCATATATGCGGCCATCGAGATACCATATATGCTTTGGGCTGCTTGTTGTGTTCTTGTAACGGACCGCTTTGCACACAAGGTAAAACCGTTTAGTAATCGCCCCTTCAGATGCAGGCACAGCTACTGCAGAACACCAAACTCCGAACTGATAAGCAAAATACCAACCCCTAACTGAACTCCCTGCTAAATAGCTGCCAGTAGATCTAACAGGAAAAGCAGACATCAGCTACACTCCTGGCAATCAGTCTCTAACAGCATACAGTGGTGATATATTCTGTGTTGAGGGTCAAGCAGTGGTCTGTTTAATGAGGGCTACCTGCCCGGCTTTTATGCAGGTCTCCCACCTGGTGGACACTCCCCTAGGGGACCAAATGGGAACTGTGACAAGGGACAGACAAGTAGACAAATAGGACACACAGTCACAGTATATTCCCACAATGCATCCTGGCTTCCTCCCCTCTGCCCTGGGAGATAATTGAGAAGTAACTCAATTATCTCCCAAGACAAAGGCAAAACTCCATTACACATGTGGGGACACAAAACCAGTATTATACTTTAAAATACATAAAGCAACATTTATTACATAAAACACAGACATGTAACATATCCCCAGATAGCTCAGGTCTGAGCGCACATTATTAAGTGAATGGCGCTCAGACCACACGAATACAGTTTAATCGCCATGGAGCCAAAGTCTTTACAGTCAGTTTCATTCGAAAGGCTCCATGGGGTATAACACATTCACACAAAACTACCGAACACCGGGCCATTCGGGCACTTCCACCGAACAAGAAGGGAGGTCGGCGGCTTCAACGGTGTTCGCACAAAACTGTGTCCGATTTTAGTTCCATGAAAATAGGGGCGAACACCGCTGTGCATTCGTATGTTTAAAATGGCCACGACCTCGTGTTCGGGATACGAATGGCGGCCACCCAGCATTCGTCAATTGCTGCAGTTAACCACGTATTTGCGGAGGTTAATTGCCGCACACCCAGCTCCCAGGTAATCTATTCAGGCGGTTGTTCGCAGATTTAATTCATCGAACAACCGCAGAAAGCACCTGTCACAGCTTTTCTGCAGGCAAAAATAAAGTCTTTAAAAGGGGGGCCATAGTCCAAAGGCAGCAGGCGAGCAACCAGGCTTCTCCAATGCAATGTGGCGAGATTGGTCTCGTCACATCTCTCCCCTTTTCCAAACAGACTAACAGGGTATCTGACCTCCTGCCGGTCAGTGCCCTTGTTAGTCCAGCAGCCCACCCACAAAACATAATCACCAGCACAGCCCACCCACAATAAATGGTTACTACACCTGGGTAAAGGAGAAGCTTGTCCATGTCCAGGTGCCTCACCATATTGTGCTGGGTACGAAGTACGCTGACTGGTGGTGCTGCGTAAGCAGCAGGCCTCAGCGCGCCACTTGCTCCCTGTTGCCAGCGCCATTGGAGTGGCAGCCTGGTTGAAGCCTGGTTGTTGGAGGGGGAGACCGAATTGCCTCCCCCTTTAGATACAATAGTGTCCTGCTGCTGGAGACCCGACTGTTCTTGGTTACATTGAAGTTCTGCTGCTGGAGACCCACTGTTCCCCTTTTGGTTACACAGCCTGTTGGCTGGAGGGGAGACCGATCGTTCCCCTTTGGATACTCTAAGATGTCGCTGGGGAGAGGGGGTAACAGGCTCCTCTCCCGATAGAACACTCTGCCGCTGGGGAAAGGAGACTGAGCTCTCTATTCCCTGCCCATTAATGATCCGCTGCTGGGGAGAGGTGGTAGCAAGCTCCTCTCCCATACATACTTTCATCCTCTGTGGAGGGAGACCGACTGTCTCCGCTCCCAATACAGTGTCCTGCAGCTGGGAAAGGGAGACTGGGATCTCTATTCCCTGCTGGATACTCTGCCGCTGGGGACTAGAGACTGGGCTCCCAATTCCCAACAAATAACACTGCCGCTGTGGAATGGAGACTGGGCTCCCAATTCCCGACACATCACACTGCTGCTGGGGAATGGAGACTGGGCTCCCTATTCCCAGAAAATCACGCTGCCGCTGGGGAGGGAGGACACTGCTCTCCTCTCCCTGGACTTCACACTGCCTTCCCGGCATATCACTCGGCTGCTGGGGGGCAGGAAGAACTACCTCTGCCCCCTGTAGCTCAGCCTGTCGCTGGGGAGGGAGGACACTGCTCTCCTCTCCCTGTACTAAACACTGCCTTCCCGGCATATCACTCGGCTGCTGGGGGGCAGGAACAACTACCTCTGCCCCCTGTAGCTCAGCCTGTCGCTGGGGAGGGAGGACGCTGCTCTCCTCTCCCTGCACTTCACACTGCCTTCCCGGCATATCACTCTGCTGCTGGGGGGCAGGAACAACTACTTCTGCCCCCTGTAACTCAGCCTGCCGCTGGGGAGGGAGGACGCTGCTCTCCTCTCCCTGCACTTCACACTGCCTTCCCGGCATATCACTCTGCTGCTGGGGGGCAGGAACAACTACCTCTGCCCCTGTAGCTCAGCCTGCCGCTGGGGAGGGAGGACGCTGCTCTCCTCTCCCTGCACTTCACACTGCCTTCCCGGCATATCACTCTGCTGCTGGGGGGCAGGAACAACTACCTCTGCCCCCTGTAACGCAGCGTGCCGCTGGGGAGGGAGGACGCTGCTCTCCTCTCCCTGCATTTTACACTGCCGCTGGGGAGTGGAGACTGGGCTCCCAATTCCCTGCTGTATCTGCCGCTGGAGTTTCTCCCAACGTGCCAACTGACCTTCTCTCTCTGCCCGTTGTTGCAGCCTCTCGAACACTAGGTTCCTCACGAACCGCACCGATCTCTCCAGTGGGTTGGATCCGAAGAAGCTTAGGTGAAACCACACCATCCGGTCATACTCTCTCATAGAGTAGCTGTACTCCACTGCTGGTTCCATCCTTGTGCTGTCAGGGTCGCTGTACTAAGACATCCGTTGCCCACAAATTGTAAAATCCAAATAAATGGTGTCTCCTGTAGCTGTCCTTCTGGCTGTAGGAACGATCCCGCCGCTTGCCACCAATTGTAACGGACCGTTTTGCACACAAGGGGTAAAAACCGTTTAGGCAATCGGCCCCCTTTCCAGAGACGCAGGCACAGCTACTGCAGAACACCAAACTCCCGAACTGGATACAAAATAGCCCTCCAACTCCCGAACTGGAACCTCCCAAATAGCTGCCAGTAGACGAACAGGAAAAGCAGACGAACAGCTTACACTCCTGGCAATCAGTCTCTAACAGCATACAATGAATCCCCCCAAGAATGAGACAGAGCTCTGTGTTGAGGGTCAAGCAGTGGTCTGTTTAATGAGGGCTACCTGCCCGGCTTTTATGCAGGTCTCCCACCTGGTGGACACTCCCCTAGGGGACCAGATGGAAGACTGTAACAAAAGACAGACATGTACCAATTACAGACATACAGAAGTAAAACATCCCCACAATGCATCCTGGCTTCCTCCCCTCTGCCCTGGGGAAGTAATTCAATTATCTCCCAGGACAAAGGCAAAACTCCATTACACACGTGGGGACACAAAACCAGTATTATACTTTAAAATACATAAAGTAACATTTATTACATAAAACACAGACATGTAACATATCCCCAGATAGCTCATGTCTGAGCGCACATTATTAAGCGAATGGTGCTCAGACCACACGAATACAGTTTAATCGCCATGGAGCCAAAGTCTTTACAGTCAGTTTCATACGAATGGGCTCCATGGGATTCCTATCTGGGGTATAACACATTCACACAAAACTACCGAACACCGGGCCGTTCGGGCACTTCCACCGAACAAGAAGGGAGGTCGGCGGCTTCAGCGGTGTTCGCGCAAAACTGTGTCCGATTTTAGTTCCATGAAATTAGGGGAGAACACCGCTGTGCATTCGTATGTTTAAAATGTCCGCGACCTCGTGTTCGGGATACGAATGGCGGCCACCCAGCATTTGTCAATTAAGCTGCGGTTAACCGCAGCTTCAGGGAGGTTAATTGCCGGCACACTCCAGCTCCCAGGTGGTCTATTCATTTGTGCGGTTGTTCGGTAGATTGAATCTACCGAACAACCGGCAGAAAAGCACGAATACAGCTTTTCTGTAGGCGAAATAAAGTCTTTTAAAAGGGGGCCATAGTCCAGAGGCAGCAGGCAAGCAACCAGGCTTCTCCAATGCAATGTGGCAAGATTGGTCTCGTCACATGTCTTAATTCTCTGTGCCAATAGTTTGCCTGCTTTATTGCCCTGCGAGTAGTTCCGAGCTTTGAGCCTGGTCAGATGTCGTCCCACCTGCTCTAAAGACAACTTGTGCATGCTCTCTGTCACTTGTATAATCTGAGTCCTCAATTCCTTCGTGGGTGCATTTTGGTTTTGTGTTGTAAGATGTTGGAGGTCCTTTTGATAAGTTAGTAGCTGTGAGTGGGCCTGTTGTTTTAGGAAGGATGCTCTCCATATGAGCAATCCCCTTATAACCGATTTGTGTGCCTGCCATAAGGTGGTTCTTGAGACATCAGTGGAGTCATTGTCTTGGAAGTAATGTGTTATGCCTGCCTTCAGTTCAGCGGCAAAGCTGCTGTCTCGCAGTAGCGTTGTGTTTAGGCGCCAGGGGCTTCTGTGGGTAGGGTCGTACAAGTTTTTAAGCGTCAGTTTCACAGGAGCGTGGTCTGACCACGTTATAAGTCCTATCTCACACTTGGTTTTCTGTGTCATACCTGATCCTGAAATGAGAAACCCATCAATGCGGGAGTAGGTGTTATGTACTGTGGAGAAAAACGTGTATACCCTCTCTCCCACGTGGTGGGCTCTCCACACATCATAGAAGTGGGGGCTGTGAAGTAGGTTTCTCAGTGCCCTGCTTTGTTTTTTGAGTGGTGCGGACCGTGCTTTAGACATGGCCAGGGTCGTATCAATCGTGGGATCAAACACATGGTTGAAATCTCCACATATTATTGTGGTGCCTTGTTGGATGCGCTGCAATTTTAATATGAGTTTGTGGAGAAAATTTCTTTGGTTCGTGTTTGGAGCATAGATATTCGCTATAGTGTATGGCATGTCGTTGAGTGTGCCTGTTATGATAACGTATCTACTGTCAGGGTCAATATGGTGTGAATGAGGAAGATATGCAACGTTTTTTCTAATTAGTATCAACGTTCCTTTAGTCTTGTTAGTCGTGGTCGCATGAAACTGTATAGGGAAGTCCTGTTGTAAGATAGTGGGATGTGATCCTGTCATGAAGTGTGTCTCTTGTAGGCACAGCACGCCTATCTCCTTATTTTTGATTTCTTTATAGAGGAGGTGTCTTTTAACTGGGATATTGAGTCTGTGACAGATTCATCTGTATTGCTGGTTCGTCTGTTTCCCTTTGTTTCGCGGGATTTCCTGTTCGTATACCCCCGTTCGTGTAATTTAATAAAATACCAATTGAAACTACCGAATGAACGACCACCCAGGAGAGGAGTGTGCTGCTGGTTAACCTCTTGGCCCCAATTAGAACGTTGTGGTTAACCGCAGACACCTCTCCATTCCATTCGTACGGGTGGTCGTCGTTCGCATGTAGACCATGAGGCAGCGGCCATTTTGGGACACACGAAAGCATAGCGGTGTTCGGTACAAATTGTATGGAACTAAAAACGGACACTTTAAACTACCGAACACCGCTGGAAGCTGATGCTCCCCTTCTATTTCGACAAGGCATACGAACGCCGGTCGTTCGGGAGTTTTTTATGCATTCGTATGGACTTTACCCAGATAGCCGTCCCATGGAGTCATTCGTATACCGAAGGACTGGTGAAAGACTTTGACTCCATGGCGATTCGACTAGATACATCGGATCTGAGCGCTGTTCGGTGAAAATGTGCACTCAGATCCAGGCTGTCTGGGGATACGTTATACGAACTATATCCATTCGGTATTTTCCCAGTTATGTATTTTAATGTATTTTTGTTACTGTATTTTAAAATGGCGATTGTCTCTACCCTGGGAGATAATTAGGTTTCTTCCTAATTATCTCCGGGGTAGAGAAGACGGATTTATGGGTAAGATGGGAAGGGCTTATATTGAAGCCACTGCGATTGGCTACTGTATAATATATTTTACAGTCTTCCACAAGGTCCCCTCGGGGAGTGTCCACCTTGTGGAGACCTGCATAAATACCGGGCAGGTAGCCCCATTAAACAGATCCTTATTTGACCCTCAAGACGGAGCTTGGTCTCGTTTGTGGGGGAATTATTACTGGGACAGCGCTTTCGTTATTTTTAGCTGTGGAAGGCGTTCGACTGTTTTGCTGATCGGGAGTTGCCGTGTTCGTGGACTTCGTTCGGGAGTTTGGCGGTCGGCTGGATATAAACTGCATTTCTGGAGAAGGGGATTATTTACTAAACGGCGGCTTCATCTACCTGGCGGTGAGTGTCTTAACAGAGTCCTTTGACATTATGTGAGTAGATTTTTACGGTGGAAGGTGGTCATATTCCTGCGTGTGGCCTTGTGTAGTAAGTCTATGTGCGGGGGATCCATGTTGTCCCAGTTCCCTCGAACCCAGGGGACGTCCCCTTTTTACCTCCAGATGTTCTAGTGCTCTTTCCCGCTTGGAGGAGTGCGTTCTCAGAGTCTCAACCCTGATCAATGGTCTCTGTAGCCCTTCGGAGTGCATTCTGTTAATAGCAGACATAACAAATATAAACATACAAACAAAAATAATAGTAACAGGGGAGAGAAATAATAAAACCTGTTTTGCCGGGTATCCGGCTGTGCACCTGTTCGTGGTGCAATGGGGGTGGAAGCTTACGGCTTCCGTCTTGGCTGCAGTTCAGCGGCCTTGGCCTATACCTTAAATTCGTATAATTTCTGTGACCTAATGATGATTGGTTACTTATGGGAGGTCTGTGACTTCAGCTGCCCGAAGGCTCATAGGGTGTGGTATTTGGGTCTACTTAGGTTGTGTGGGTCTCCTTTTTTTTTTTTTTTACCGTATCCTGCATTAACTGCCAACAGCTCCTCTTGGCGCAGAGCTGAGGTATCCCCCCTTCGTAGCCGGGTGCATGCAAGTTGTCCTGGGAAACCTGTGCTGTTCTTTTTAATTGTGCCGCAAGCTACTGTATCAAAACAGTACAGTAGCTTAAACAAAGGGACAGTTGTATAAAAATTGTCAGTATACAAGTGGTACCCTTTGTTCATCAGGGGGAATATCAGGTCCCAGACAATCTTGCCACTGGTTCCCATATGTTCTGGGCAACCTGGAGGGTCAAGGTGGCTATCCTTTCCCTCGTACACCTGGAAGGCTTGAGTATACCCAGTCTCGCTATCACAGAGCTTATACATCTTTACACCATACCTAGAGCGCTTGGAAGGAACATACTGCTTGAATCCCAGCCTTCCCTTACTTCATCAGGGATTCATCCATGCATATATTCCTTTCAGGTGTAAGCCTCTGCAAACCTGGCAGCAAAGTGGGTAATCAGGGGGCGGATTTTTTTTTTTAATTTCTTTATTTTGATTCGACACAGAGTATGGTTTGGCAATATGCAGTGGCCCTCGCAGGGGCCAATTACAAATATAATTTACATTGCATGTTACAGAAGACAAGAAGTTTCATATGATGTAAAGCGATTCTTTTGTGCCGCTCTGTGTCGTTTTCGATTTTATATAGCAGTTCGTGCTTATGGGTAAGCCGATTACTAATTTTGACCAAAACAGGACATAACAACCATATATACAGTGCAATTTACTTCATTTGGTTTTAGGTTCCATCAGACATGTCGTTGGTTTACTTGGTTGTGGGGTCAGCGTCTAGGACAGCGCAGGTTACCATGACGTCATAGGAATGAAACATCATCCAATGTGTCTGAGTTGGTGTCTCGTCTTGTATGTCATGGGGGTTGTGTCGGTCTGTCCCTGTTATCGACAGTTGTCATTTTCTTTTTGTACGCCCTCCATTTGGTAACCTGCTCTTTGAAGGTATTCGGTGGCCTGAACAGTGTGGTCGTCTACCCTGTTGCGGTTAGTCTCCATAGGAGTTAGAGTAGGGTCACCAGTCTGTGGCGGTCGCCCTGCGACTGAGCACTGCCCTCTTAATGGTTTCCTAAATGTGTCCGCCCTTTTTCCGTCGTCTAACAAGGTAGCCTGTTACGGCTTGTCTGGGGTTCTATGTAGGTTTGTGCCCTGGTCGGTATCCGTTGTTATGTACTGTATGTTTAGTACAATGGGGGGTGGAGAGGGGGATGGGTCGGGGCTGGGGGGCAGAAAGAATGGGGTGGGGGAGATGGCTTGCTGTTCCTCGGGGCGCCCGGTGGGTCGGGTTCTTGCATGGACCGTCCGTATGTCGTGGCCATATGGCTCATTCGTCAACATAAATCTCCCATGGTTGCCAAACTTTTTGGAATGATTTTTCAGTGTGTCTGATTTGTGCTGTCAGTTTGTCCATCAGATACGTATCTTTAATTTTTACTATCACGTCATTGTCGGTGGGGAGGTTGGGTTTCAGCCACGCCTGTGCTAGAGCCCTTCTAGCTGCCAGCGTGAGTTTGTTTAGAAGTTGTTGCTCTCTCCTGGGGAGGCTGTCTACGGGTCGGGACAATAGGATTGACCACGGGTCTAAATCCACTTGTCGTGTTAGTACATCTGTCAGTAGAGTCTGTACATGTTTCCAGTATTTGCTGGTTTCAGGGCATTCCCACCACATGTGGATAAAGGTGCCCTTGCCACTGCATCCTCTCCAGCATGTGTCCATCGTGGTTTTCCCCATTTTGTACAACTGTGCTGGTGTAGTGTACCACCTCAGGAGCATTTTATATGATTGCTCCTGATGCAGCAAACAAATCGACGTCTTAGCTGTCGCTTCCCATATGTCTACCCAGTCCTCTCCTTCCAGTGCCCCACCCAGGTCCGCTTCCCATTGGTGTATGTACCTTGGCTCTTCAGCTCCCTTTTCAGGGGCGCTGAGCTGCGCGTATATGACCGTGATCAGACCCTTCTGAATTGTTTCCGCGTTACATAGCTGTTCGTAGAACGTCATCTTGGTCTGTGCTACTTTCTTTATCTCAGGGTTTTTGGCAAAGTCACGTAACTGTACATATCGGAATACGTCTTTAATGGTTAGGGGTGCCATTGTTTTTAGGATGTCAAAGGTTTTGAAGGTGTCGCCGTCATACATGTGCCCATATCGTTGCATCCCCGTTGTTTCTATCCCCCTAAAGTCTCGTGCGCTTAGCCCGGGCTCAAATGCCTTGTTCTGCAAATACGGAGTCAGTGGTGAGGGTGTGTGTGTCAGTGCGTATTTGGTAGCCGTTAGATCCCATATCCGTATAGAGTTAAGGATCGCCGGGCATGTGGTACGTAAGGGTGGTCTATCTTGTTTAGGCACCCAGATCCAGAACTGAGGCATGTCTGTGCTCATTAGCTTCGTCTCTAAATCTACCCACCTATGTGTGCCCTCTGGTGTGTGCCATGCGACAATTGGGGCTAGCTGAGCTGCTAAATAGTATTGGGAGTCCTAGCCCACCCCTAGTTTTTGGTCGGTACAGTACCTGTCTGGCTATCCTGTGCCTCTTTTGTGCCCATATAAAAAACATCGGTAGTAAATGGTTGTAGAGCAGATGGGGCTCCTGCTCCAGTAGGAGCGGATGGAGGGCTTCTTTATGATGCCCATCAGCATAGTCAATGCCCAGAATCTTTTAAATTCTGGCACATCGATGGGGGCCCATTGCTGCTTTGCCAAAAAAGAGTCCGGATTTGTAGCTCGGAATTGATGGGCATATAAATTAGTTTGGGCGACAATGTTCCCCAATACATCATCGCCCAGAAACACCTCCATAAACTGCTGAGGGCTAAATCCTGTGACATCCAAATTAATGCCAGGATTTGCAGTAAAGGATGGGATGTCTGGCCTCTGGCGATGAGGCACTACCCACTCCTCAGCAGTTCTGCCAGCTGGAGCAGCACGTCTCCTTCTGGCAGGGGGACTAGCAGGCACAGATACAACATCACCAGATACATCACTAGCAGTAGACACTGTATCTAGTGATGATGTATCTGAGCACCTGGCAGGGTCAAAATCACGGTCAGAGTCTGACAAAGACACGTCAGACTCTAGCGCAAGGGTGGCAAATGAAGGGTGGCATATGACTGCTCAACGCTGGTTGACTTCCGTGACCCATGTGACATGATCACAATCACTTTACTTAGTGACCTGTCACAAAAAAAAAAAAAATAACCCCTGAAAAAATTAACAGACAGCAAAATAAGTGCTGCTGTGCAAGAGCCTGTGATCTGTATAGTGATCACTGTCAGGGCAAGGGTTAATCGTTCTGAAAAGAGCTTTTGGGTCTCAAAAAATAAAAAAAGATCACAAAAAATGAACCCCTAAAAAAAAAGGCACAAACAGCAGAAACGTGCTGCTGTGCAAGAGCCAGTGATTATAGTGATCACTGGCAAGACAGGGGTTAATGGCTCTGAAAAGAGTCTTTGGGTCTCAAGATTTTACAAATCCCTACCTATAAATACCTAAATCTCTCTAACTAATCCACAGATCTCTCTCCCTCTCTCACTAAAACACAAGTGAAGAGAGGGAGGCAGATCCACACTAATCAGAGAAATGGGGAAGACACTTGGGATGAAATTGCTAATGGGGCAAGCTGTGATTGGATGACCCCAGCCTGCCCCTTATGATGCGGCATGCTATGGATGCCCCCAGAGGCCTCATGATTCACTGCCTTTAGAAAAAAGGGGGGGGGAGTTAATATTGATCATTTTATTTATTTTATATTTATTTTTTTATATATATTATTATATATGCACTGAGTGCCGGGACCCCTCAAGGCACTCAGCACATGCAGAGCATCACTGCTATACTATCAGAGATTCCAGAGCTTAAAATAGGTGCAGACGTACCAGGTACGTCCAAGGTCATTATGGACCGTTTTCTGCCAGACGTACCTGATACGTCCGCGGTCGGGAAGGGGTTAAGGAGATTAGGGCTAGTTTAGAGGATTCTTCTTAGACCTCTCTGAGTCTTTATAGCCCTTCTACCTATCCAGCATTTCTGGAAACTAGCTAAGAGAAAGGTTGGCTGTGTTTCTGTGATACATTTAACTTTATATCACCTTATTGACACTTTTTATGACAGCATCACTCCGGTCTCCATACTCTCTGCCTATACCCATCTATTTAGAAGGAATTTCCTTGCCCCTGGCAATATTATATAATATTACCATTATTACACAATTAGCCACTATAGGGGAATGAGTATAGTATCCCTTTGTTATTTATAAATGATACAATAAAGACTTTTGTCCATTACTCAATTTACTTTAACAAAGGGTACTAACCACGGTATTAGGAAGTATTACTCTGCTTTCCCTTTCTCCCTCTATTATACACCTATGCTCACTAGGATTTGTAGGTATCACTTTATTATAGTTGTCTAACCTTTTCCTATGCCAGTTTTAGATCTCCTTCTTGGGAGATTTTTTATTTTTTCAGTTTATTAGCATACCTGGGTACAAGCCCTCGGTGGGGCTGGCACCACCACCTGACCACATTTCCTCGTTTCTTCCACTCATACCGCTTTTTCCATCTTTAAAGGGGTTTGGCGAAACAAGGAAATAGTCCTCTACTCGTAACAGGGATTAAACTGATAAGAATAGTAGTGTGATGGGATTCCAGCATGGTTAAAATTTAGTAGGCCAAAATCTCCATGTGGCATATGTGTATGTTGTGTCAGTTGGTTAGCTACATGTAGCTAGGATACTGTCATCAGTGTACTGAGCATGTGCAGGAATGCAGGAACTGAAATTGCACTTATTTCCTTTGTCTTGGATGAGCCATGTGGTTTGACTAGATGTACAAGTCTATATTCTGCTCATTGATTGGTTAAAGGTATATGTGGGTGTAGCTATTAATGGGAGGAGTTATAGTGCTATATAAGGAATGTACACTATGTGTTGGTCTCTCAGATTTTGGAACAGGAGTTCATCTGAGACCCGATCGGTAATGTGAATAAAGGCCTGTTACTTCCTGAAGACCTGTGTCCAATATTTCTGTGTTTGGCTTCTGCATGCTTACACTGCAACATTTCTGGTGCATTGGCCGGGAACCTCATCGCACGGAAGCTGGCGCAGAGATTTGAGACGGTAAACTTTTACCAAACCTTCTACGCTACAATCCTGGACTTCTACTGCGTGGACCTCCTTTCGTCTCGGCGCCACTGGCCTTTTGTCCAGGAGATCATCGGCTTCTGCGCAGTGAGTCCCGGATTGTTCCGTCTATGAGTGAACCCAGGTCCAGAATTAACAGGTAAGATTGATACCGTTAGAGCGGTAGACCCACAAGGGGTTTTATATTTGGAACCGGTTATTGGAATCTGCCCTGTCCTAAGGGATGGAAGAAGCGAAAGCGCAACGCTTATCTGGAAATTAGACGCTCTGTAGTCAGCCCGTCTAATATAGGTGGTTTGGGTCAGACTGAGTTCTGGTGTAAATAGCTCATGTCGGACACCGGTGTCCTGTCTTGACTAGCGTATCTAGGGTGTAAATTTTGTTCGCTAGGCCGGGGGATCGGGGAACTAGCATTCTCTGTTGTATATTATAGTTTGCTAGATTTCACCCTATCTTAACTAAGTGTGCTCTGTTGTAAATCCAGCCACTAGCTTATTGATAGTTTAATAGACTAGCTGGGTACTGTGTAAATTCTGCCCTCTAGTTCGCTATACGTGGTGTCTGGGCAGCGAAGAACTTATCGAATCTCTGGTGTATAAATAGATCGAAAGCTCTCGAGGTGCTGGCCAGTTAGAATAGTTGGGATTATTGTAAATGTTGTTAAATATATTGTAGTTGGTGAATTGGTTAACTTGTATGTCCTACTAGAAAGTTAGAGCTCTGCTGTCTAGTGGGAGTGTAAATTGTGTGTATAACTGTAAAATAGCGCACGGTACCATAACTACTGACATGTACCATAACCACTGACATTGTGTAAAAATTACTAACAATTGCTGTTTTATGTTATATGTATAATACCATAACTGTTACTAACTGATCTGTGACTTTAAAACTGTATTATAACCACTTACTAACTGTACCATAACCACTGACTGTAAAGATGAGGTTACTAGAATGTGATATAGTTGGTTAGTCAAAAGTTGATTTATAGTACGGATAATTGTAGAGATGAATTTGTTGAAATGTTATGTGATCGGTTAGTTTATATGGATTAATAGCGTGGATAGTTGTATGGTTTGAATAATAGTTACATTGATAAGTGTATAGTCTTTGGTGTTTTTTTTTAAATTTAATTTCGTGTGTGCGACGTCGTGATATTGTTGAGCATGTGAGGATCCTGTGTGTGTGTTTGGGCCTAGTGACTGCGCAATGTGTTGCTGGTGATAAGGAGATTGGTGTGACTGTTGAAACTGTGTGTATATTTGTACAGCTTTTTGAATCAGACGTTCTGTTGAAATAATCTGATTCACTAGGCTGTTAGTCTTTTGTCTTGTATGTTTTCAAAAAAAAAAAAAGTAGGGAGTAGCCTGTCCTGGTGGCCGCATGGCCTCCATGTAGCAGTCTTCACTTAAATTTAGTGCAGGGTGTACATGTGGCTGTAACTAGTAGGCCAGAATTCTATGATCAGTTTCTATATATTGACTGTTGGAAACTGATTGTTGAAAAACTGCCTTGGTGAGTTAAACTGTGTCATATGAGAAACAATGTAGCCATATGGTGGTCAGAACTAAGGACTTAATTACAACTGCTTTGGACATCCCCTCCCCCCCTGGCATCTGATTACCAACCCCCCAAACATCCTCCAGAGCCAGATTAGCCACGCCCCTATTCTTTTTCCCAAGCTAAAAACTGGTATATAGTCAGTATTTGCACTCACCCTGCTCTACTGTCCCCGCCTACCCACATACCTATCTGTTCCTGTGTTTCAAACTCTTGTATTTCTGTACTACCCCTCCCCATAATCAATGATCAATGGTATCAGATGGTATATGGTCTTTTTTTTAGTTACTAGATGGGCCCCTCCCAGCTTTGTCCAATATGTCCCCTTTTACTAAACTACAAACTGAAATGTTTAATTTACCTTAGAACTAAAGATTTAATCAAGCCTAGCTATCAGGGTGGACAGTGATTAAAATAAGTAATAATAAAATAGGACATAATTAATTAAAGTCTATTTGCTTCATTAGACTTTAGGGAGGCACTCTAAGCCACCTACGGGCCATCTTTGGGAGTTACATTGATAATACATTTTTTATAACAGATAGAAGTAGGATTGCTTACCCTATTTTAATATATTTATTGCTATAAGGTTTTATTTTATGTATAAATATATTAAAAGTTGAGTTTTCTTATTAGACCCATAAAGATTATTTTGATACAATTACCCTCTGGTGACACCTACTGGTAGGTTATTGGTTTAACACTTTAAACAAAAAAGTTTTTTCATCCACCAAATGCTGACTAATAAAATTAGCTCACCCCCTTACATCTTACTACTCCTAGACTGGAACCTATTATTGAGCAGCCTTGCCGAAGTCCCATATTAGATACTGTTTGAGTCAAATAGATTGTACACTCTTTTCAATCCTGAAGCCCCTGAAAACTTCCAAATGATAGACTCAGCATTTGTCAGCCAGGCCCAAGGTGATATTAAAAGGAAATTACAGAAATTTGAGGGATTTGTAGGGTTGTCCATATTACAGCTAATGGAGATTGCAAATACAGTATATATGAATAGGGAGATGGAGGAAGAACGTAAAATGAGGAAAAAGGAAGATATGCTAGCGGTAGCTATCTTAAGTGTAGAAAGACAGGGAAGTGAATAGAGGAGACGAGAATAGGCTGAGCAAGGGACTTTAAGTAGGAATTAATGTGCGTATTGTAGAAAGGAGGGACATTGGAAGAGTGAGTGTCCACAGAGAGAGCAGTATGAAGGTGATAGACAAGGAGAGAGAAGGGTACGAGGAGGTTATAGTGGTAGTTATAGAGGAAGAGGAAGTTTTAGAGGGAATGATGGGAATAGTAGAGGAAGTGTTCAAGGAGACAGATACTATCCACCCACGCAGAGACCTAGAGAAAGAGAGGATAGAGATTTTGTGGGTCTGGCTGACACTATCATGGAAGACTATTGATACCGACTGGGCTCCATCCCACTTGGTGAAGCGGAGCCTATGGTCGATGTAGCAATAGGGGGAAAGAGAAGTTCTTTCATGATCGACACAGGTGCTGAACATTCTGTGGTGACTAAAATGGTGGCTCCGCCTTTGGGGAAGACTATAACTGTGATAGGAGCTACTGGGAGAAGTGCAGCTAGACCGGTTCTTAAGAGTCGCACTTGTATTCTGGGAGGCCATGTGGTGAAGCATTAGTTCCTATATATGCCAGAGTGTCCGATTCAACTTTTAGGACGAGATCTATTATCGAAGCTTTAAGCTCAGATAACCTTTTACCTAATGGATTAACATCTCTGAAGTTTAAGGGATTACCAGGCATAATGGTGATATCGGTGCCGAGGGAAGAAGAATGACACCTCTCTTCCATAGTGACAAGTGTTAACCCTAAGAGTGATGAATCCTTACTTGACATTCCAGGAGTATGGGAAGAAAATAATCCTCCAGGACTTGCTCGTAATATCCCACCAATACATATTGAGTTAAAGCTCGGGGTGTATTCTGTTAGCCTTTGTATGTTGTTCTTTTATCTACCCCAATAGCTGTAAAGGTGGCGGAAGTGACTCCTTGGATTCATCATTCTAAGGTTAAACCAGCGGTAGACTCTTGGCAAGCTACTCCAGATCCTGAGAATCCTTGCAGGACCCGGTTCAAGCGTGCAACTCAGTCAGAGTGACGAGGGGATATTGAGACATTCTAGTTAAAAGTCTACAAAGATCATCAAGTAGGTGTTTTGACGGCCATAATAAAGCCTGACCACCTGCCTACGTGTCATAGCCAGAGTATCTTGAAGGGATCTCTGTGAAGGAAAGTGAGGATCAGAAGAACAACATCCTTGCAGCCCTCACAATCGGGAAGCTGAGAGGCCATCGCACGGTCGAAGAAAAATGAGGATTTCAGGAATAATGTGTTTTATTGTGTCTTAGTATTTTTATGATTTTTCAGGAAGGTAGGAGTACAGACATACCGAATTGCGATAGTTGCATTAAGACTACTAAAACAGGTAACCAAATATCCCAAACTCTCATCTGGCACTCACAGTATGAATGTAAGGGATCTGTATCTAAATGTAGATATTTGGATATTGATTATAGTGTGTGCAAGCCAATATCAGGAGAGTCTAAATGTTTTGATCCCCATTTCCAACCCCGTACAATTTGGTTGGTAATTCGGAATAGTAACTCCCAGGGGACATTAATAAATAGGACTGTGATAAGCACCATACATTCCACGGGTATTCTACTATTTGATGCATGTGGGGGCCAGGGGGGAGGACATTAGGTCCCCCCCCCTATTAGTATTTAGGGACCCCACCCACCGCTCAGGGGTGGGGGCCGGGGGGGAGGACAATAGGTCCCCCCCATTATTTTACTTTAGGGCGGTATAGCGAGTAGGGGCAAAATTTACTAATACTAAGTAATTTTTACTTAGTATTAGTAAATTTGTCTGAAAGACCAATTTAGGTCTTTCAGCCTTTTGGTAGATAACTTCCTAATACCGTGGGAATTAAGGAGTTATCTACTAAGCGGCTGCAATAGAAGTGCCGAAGTTCCAAAATGCTGAAGTGCCGAAGTTCCGAAGTTGCCGAATTTCCCAAGTGTCGAACTGCCGAAGTTGCCGAAATTCCGAAGTGTTGAAGTGCCGAAGTCCCGAATTGCGAAAATTCCGTATTTGGGAATGCTGAACCGAAAATTTTCCCCATGCACATGCCTAGTTTAAATTTTATTTTATTTAAAAATTACATAAGAATAGGATATTATATGCCTAGGAGGATCTAGCCAGCATTGAAAGGATTACTCAGTTAACTGGTAGCCAAGGTTTTTTGGCTTTTCACTGCACTGTGTGAAAGTTTCCCTTTCTGTCTGTGAAGTACCATCATAAATATTGTAAGTCTTGACAGTTGAGGCTGTTAGCCATTGGAACGTGTATTGCCATTGTATTGCATACTATGTTATACTAAATATTCATTGATTATTATCACGCATGTTACATATTCTTATTTAAGTTGTCACAATAAATTACATCTATTTTTATAACAAATTGTGATTTTAATTGTATGGAATACATTTCACTTACATGATAATGATCTCTAAGATCTGAGAGAATTTAAATAGTGGGCAATTCTCGACTGTTTACTATTATCATCCCATAAATATTCCCACAACACCTCTCACCAGCAAGGGGACTGCCTGACAGCTCAGGCAGTTCCCCTGCTGTCAGATCCACAGCCAGCTATAGGGAGCCATTTGATCGCACTTTGAGAGTGATCACATGGCCCCCAGGGGCCTGATTTGCCGTGGAAGGGCTGCCGGAGTTACAGGGACAGTCGGTACTACTCTCCAGTGGCCAAGTATGTTATTGGGAGAAGAGACCATCTTTCTCCCCAGCGCCAGTAGAGACAATTGGAGTGGAGACAAGCGGCAGTGTGTGTTACAGAGAAAGGAGACAGCTGGTCCCTCTCCCCAGCAGCAGATTACCTTACAGGGAGAGGAGAGGATCGTTCTTCATCCCCAGCGGCAGGGTGAGTTACAGAGAGGAGACAACCGGTCTCTCTCCCCAGTGGCAGACATTGTTACCGGGAGATGAGATTGTTGGTCCCTCATTCCCACAGCAGCAAGCATCCCTGGAAGTGGAGAAAGTCAGTCTCACTACCCCGCACCAGGCAGCGTTACTGGTAGGTGAGACAGTCGGTCCGACTCCCCAGCGGCAACTTACTCTACAGGTAGAGGAAATAACCGGTCTATCTCTCTCGCAGCAGCTAGACACACCTCGGGAGGGGACGGTTGATCCCCCTCCCCAACTACAAGGAAAGATGCAGGGAGTTGAAATGGGCGGTCCCACCCACCAGCAGCTGGGGCTGTCATCCAGAGACAAGTGCACCTAGCATCTTCCCAGCAGAAGAGCAGTTGGCCTCTGCCTGCCCCATTCCCTTTGTCCAGGGCCTGAATACCCGCAGGATTAGGGCAGAGCGCCACTGGCCTCTGCCCTACCTGCCCCCCTAGTTACAGGGGAGGCTTATGTACCAGTCCCACCAGCAGAAGTGCTGGCACCAGGTCAGAGCTCAGTTGGCCTCTTCCCACCAAGTACTTGCAACTTTATGCCGGGGAGCACAAGGGGTGGCGGATGCTCACTCTACAGCATGGGACAGACAGGACAAAGCTGGACACCTGAGAGCTAGAGAGCTACGGCGGGTCAAGTACTTGTTTGTGGGTGGGTTGCTCAACTAACCCAGGTACCGACCAACAGGAGGTCAGGTACCTGGTTAGTCTCCCCTTGGGAGGGAAGATACGTTTCAAAAGTAACTTCGTCACTGGCTTTTGGAGGGGCCTGTTTGCCAGCCTCCTACCCTGTGATTATAGCCCTGTGACGAAATGAACCTCGTCATGGGTTCTTTGAGGGGCCTGCTGGCCAGCCTCTTTCCTCAGGACGATGGGCCCTGCAATATACCATGCCCAATGCACTTTAAAGGCTCTGTTCATTTGAAGTAAGTACTTTTGTATTCCAGACAGAGAGACCGACCGTTAGCCCTAATTCTCTGGAACTGTTTGGGCATGGGACCATGTGCACAGTGGATCAAAAATAAGACTTCCAGGAAATTCCCGAACCCCTGAATTGATCTGGGTGATTTTAGGGTACTTTTGGGGTGTTTTAAAAAAGTATATTTTTTCTGTGCTTGGAGATAATTGGATTAGAATTAGTACAGTTACTGACCCAATTATCTCCCAAGCAGAGGGAGCAATTGTGTACTGTGTATGGGAGTGTCGTGCATTTAATCACTGCTTGTGACGAGACCAATCTCGCCACATTGCATTGGAGAAGCCTGGTTACTCGCCTGCTGCCTTTGGACTATGGCCCCCTGTTAAAAGACATCTTTTTTACCTGCAGAAAAGTTTAATTCGTGCTTTTCTGCCTGGGGTTCGGTAGATTTGTTTGAATGTGTTATACCCCAGATAGGAATCCCATGGAGCCCATTTGTATGAAACTGACTGTAAAGACTTTGGCTCCATGGCGATTAAACTGTATTCGTGTGGTCTGAGCGCCATTCACTTAATAATGTGCGCTCAGACCTGAGCTATCTGGGGATATGTGAAATGTCTGTGTTTTATGTATAAAAGGTGACTTTATGTATTTTAAAGTGTTTTGTGTCTTTTTGCAACCATGTGCTTAATGGAGTCTTGTGTCTGTCCTGGTAGATAATTGAATTACTTATCTCCAGGATAGAAGACTCTGAAACTGGTTTGGGCCGGAAAGCCATGCTTCATTTAGTCACAAAGGACTTTTTACTAACTTTTGAACCCCTTGTCTGATTTGTGCCATTTTTGAATATGTTGTTCCCCTGAATGGATTGATTGTGAATATGTAATTTTATGTGAATGTGATGTATGGTTTTAGAGTTATGAAAGTTGGGTAGAAAGTATGTTTTAACTGTATGTATAATTGAGTTTCCTCTCAGGATAAGGGGAGGGAATATGTGGGATGTAACTGTGATGTGATTGGTTGTTTTATACCTCCCTGTGGGCGGTCCTGTATTTGCAAGACTGTAATAAAAACCAGGCTGGGTGTGCCAGCACCTCAGACCACTGCTTGACCCTCAACACGGAGCCTTGTCTCGTTCTTGGGGGGATTCACTGTATGCTGTTAGAGACTGATTGCCAGGAGTGTAAGCTGATTGTCTGCTTT